CTACCAAGGATTGCCAAGCATTTGGTATATAATTTGTTAACTCAAGGTATGCTATATATTTGATTTTATCCAAGGTACGATAGGACTACGCATATATATAAGATTTTGTCTTCAGTGCACTTACTTTGGTGGTGTCTTCAAAGCATTTGCCTCATAATCGTCATTCCGAGTAGGCGATTCATGTCAAACTAACGTCAACTGTCACTTGTGATATGATGGACAAGAAAATGCATGAATTTACACAAAAAATCATTCAAGATTTACTTTGATATGAATGTTTTAGGATTTGGGGATATAGAGTTAGGGTTTAGGGTTGACAATTTGGGATTTTGGGTTTGTGTTCAAAATTAAAGGCTTAAGGGTTAGTGTAATAGATTGATTAGTAGTGAATTATGATCAAATGTTGTATCATCATGTCAAACTAATACTACCAATTGAAATCTATATTTGACGTTTTATGCTACTTTTAGAGTTGGGTGTATTCAACAACCTCATTTTGTTGAGTGCAAGAAGCCATATATATGTAGGTAGGCCGACGTTCACACATATTAGATGTACTTTAATATACTTCACGAATCAAAACCATTAATTATTTTTGGGTTTAGAGAACTATGATCTGAGGTTTGCCCGTTCAAGGTTAGAATATAGCAGGGGTGGGATACGGTCACAACCTACTTTGTAGCCATTAGATGAATTCTCTCTCTTGTCTTTTTCAAATTGATAGTTAAGATTAAACGAAAGGTATTTTGAAAGGAAAAAAATTTACCACACTCAACCATTCTTCCTCCTATACAAATAAAAAGAACCCCTAATATAATTATATGCCCTCCACCGTTGTTCACGTCCCTCTTCGCCTCCTCCCTCTCTCCCTTGGACGTTGCGGTCGCCGCCACTTCACCCCCTTCCTCTATCGTGCCCTCCGCCTCTCAAGCTCCCTCCGCCCCCTGCCACGCCCTTCGCTCCCTGCCGTCTTTGTCGCCTACTTCATCTCTCCTTGTCGTTGCTTGCCGCCACCATGAGGTCGCCATCGCTGAACCGGCCACCACCACGAGCAGCCACCCCTTCCTCCTCTCATCGTGTTGCCGCCACCACCATCCCATCCTCCTACCAGTGCAACCACCTCCCTCTGTTGTGAAGCCGCGAGGTCACCGTCTCTCCCCCTACCGCCCACTTTCCTCATCCCCTAGTTTTTTTTCCAAATATATGATTTTCCAGATTCCATATCTGGGTTTTTTTTTTGTGTTAGTCTCTGGTGGTAGTGATTTTCATCTGGTAGCGCATAAGATGGATTGGTACGCTACCACTTAGGGTTGTTAAACGCTTGTCGGTTAGTCGGATAATAGCAAAACCGAACCGTAAATTGCGGTCATTCGACGAACTGAAAACCGATGAAAGCCTGCGGTTGGAGAAATTCAGAGCAGCGGCTGACCGCACATTAGTCGGTGAACAACCGATCCCTTATCATTGCCCCGCACTAACCGTGCTCGATCTCCTCCTACCTCATCCCCCAAATTTGAACCCTACTGCCTCCTTCCTCCTCCTCCAAATTAGAACCATAATCCCCAAATGGGCAAATCCATCCATTGAATTCTCCCAAACTCAAACTCGGCGTCGCCCTATAGCAACAAATCCTTGTCCTCATCACGACCTCTTCATCGCCCAGATGTGGTCGGCTCATCTTTCCGCCGTCATATAGTCAGAGCGTCTTTCTGCCATCGAAGAGTCGGCTTGTCGCACCACCAGACCTCTCCCTTTCGCAAACTCGTCGCTCTCTCCCCTTACTTCGTTTCTCAATTCCCTTCTCCAGCGCATCATTCTTTGACCCTAGTAATCAGCCGTAGATCTCTGTTCCTCCCTGGCGAATTTGTTCAAGATCGCTGGACTAGCAGTCAACAATATTTGGGTGTCGTCGAGGATGATGAACGAACTCGTAGTCGGCAATATCTACGTCCTTGTCCTCGTTCCTTTGCCATCGGTAGTAGGAAGAGTGAGCAGAGTTCTGATCTTCCTCCGTGCATCTCCCCTGCCTTCAACGATGAGCAGCCGAGGATTGCATGCGAGCAGATAATGAAACTCAAGACATGCAATTACAAACTCAATCCCATATGTAAAAGCCCAATCTTACAAGTAATTCAAAGTATTGTATCCGTTTTAGATTAGGTGATCTTTTGATTTTCTGGAAATCTGAGAGAGAAAGAGAGATATGAGAGTGTTCGGTGGCGGCTAACCGTAAGCATTCTTGGTGTCGGTTGCGGTTGGGGTTTTTGGACACTATTTTGGTGGCGGTTAATCGATCCGGCGGTTCAGTTTAACTGCAACCAAATCGATTATCAGCCCTACTACCACTCATTGGCAGTGCTACCAGTGGTAGTGCTAGTGTACCACTCGATCTGGTAGCCCTACCAGTGGTAGTGGTAGCGTACCACTAGACAAAAATCACTACCACTAGCGCACTGACGGAGTGGTACGTTTTTTAAGGTGGCCGTAGCGAGCATGCTTGATGGATTTCACCGGAGAAAGTCAGTTGGTCGGAGTGGAGTGGTTGCTGGAAAAGAAAGAGAGATAAATGTATTTATGGTAGGATTTAAATTTTAAAATAAAGCAATGTATTTAATATGAGTTTTAAATTCTCAAAATGTAATTATTACAAAAAAGAAATTAATTAATAATATTCTTTTTTTACTACCCAAATTGCCTTTGGTAGTGAAATTCACAACCCCCTTAGGGGTTGTGACCGGATCCGACCCGAGTATACTGTATAGAATCATGCCCCAAAATTTGGATAATTCATGGTTAAATAGCAAGGCTCCCAAGACATATTGTAAGGTTAAGATACATGATACACCAGACATATAATATACGACCACATTCACACCTATTAGATGTACTTCGATATACTTCAAATTCAATAAGGAAATAAGTACACATAGTCATAAAGAATGCATCAGCCAAACGTGGTAGTCGATCAATAATCAAGTTGTCGATCAAATGACTTTTTGCAACTAAATGAGAATTCCAATAAATAAAAAAGGCATAAAATAAAAGAGGTTTGCCCACATCATGTGCCACATACCTTGCCATCACTAGTCGAATCCAATTTATAGTCCCCATAAAAATTCAGAACAAAAAAACCATGCGTCAAACTCTAATTCATAACACCGATTAGAGTTATCAATTTCAAGATACAAAGGATCGAGTATACCTTCGCAAAAAAATTGTCAGAGACCCAAAGGACATCATTACCATCGAGAGATCATGAACCCACCACCATCCACATTTGTGACTCATGGAGCCATCATAGCATACCAGAACATCGCTTTGTGTGCATGTGATATCTCCCACTGTCGAGAAGCAACAAAGATCCACAAAAATGGACTTTAACGAGCCGATGAGTCTTAGTTAGAAACTGCGATTGGTGTGTAACTCTGAGTACCATATGAACACATCTTATTAAATAGATAACCCGTGGTTGTGAGTCTCCTCTATCCAACACTATAGAAATCAACCTTCAAAACTAAACACCACGCACACAACGTAGCACTACAAGGAAACATAATAAAGACAACGATGCAATATGACGAATACATAACATTTATTGATGAAGATTGGGATAATGGTTGTCAACTTAAAAAACACGCCATGATAATAAGGTGAAAATGAAGATTAAAGTCTTCTGATTCCTTTCATTACAGTGGCCTAGAACATCTAGGCAAGGGCTCCCTCGCCAAAACTTCCCCTTCTTCCTCAAAAAGCTTATGTTACTATTTAGTCAACCCCATCAGAGTATGGTTGTCGTTGCGGGCCTTTGTCGGAATTGAAAATTCAGGAATTGGGTTGTTTTTTAAGGAAAAAATTCCGTGTTATTTCTTTGATGAGGCAATATCATCACCAAGTCCAGGAATGGATAGGTTTACCAGCTGACATAGTGACTTCATTTCCCTCGTCCCAGATTGAGAGTGACAATGCTTCAACTTCGATCTTGGCCATCTGCATGCGAGATGATGCAACAAGAAGAGAAAACACTCGACAGGGGGGATATTTATCGAAGATCAGAATGACTCGATTATCTTGGCTCGAGGGGCGTACATATTGATTATATTGATGACCCACCTACTATAGAACTTTTAGTGCTCCGCGGGGCCATCCAGTGGTGTTTGGATTGTGGTCTCTCGCAGATTCGGTTTGAAGGAAACACAAATGTGGTCATCGATAAGATTAACTAGACTGGTGCACAGGATAATCACTTTGGAGCCATTCTTGAGGAAGTTCGTGGCTTGCTGGCTAATTAAAATGGTTTTAATGTACGTGGAGACACATAAACATTAGTTGTCGACACTATTAAGTAAGTCTCTTTCAATGTATTTCACTAAACAATCATTAGCAAACTGATTGTCAATTTGACTTGGAAACTTGTTCTTAATATACCCCAAAACTGAAAATGCTCTTTTTACACTTGCAGTTGCAATTTGTAGAATCAAAACTAGTGGAATTGCCACTTTCAGGGTTGTTGAAAATAAAAAAACGAATAGATATAAGTAGAAAAGAGATTAGAATAGGTCTTTATTGCAATTAGAATTTTCTTTATAGTATAATAAATTAATTTTATGTCAACTAATGAACAAGTAACGAATTGTGTTGAAGTAACAATATACTCGCGTACCACTTATAAGTGTTGTGTTTCATCATCAATATAAATATATATGGAGTATTTTTTTTCTGCGAAATATACCCCTGTCCCGTGATAAGGCTCAAAAGGCCTGCCTCCGCCTATGGGTATGAGCGAGAGGGTTGAGTTTCATGACCAAAGTTCTGACGGATTGGAGCGAGAGGAAGCGGTGAATAATTTACTCTATCGAGATTCGGATCTATAATCTATTAAGCCCTAATTATTATCATTTTATGATATTTAACATATAAGATAAATTCTATTTAATACCGTATAGTATATTTTGGTGACAAAAGAAAATCCTCTTGATGCCATAAAATCAGCGATGAATACGTTAAACTCTGAGCGAGAGTGATGCCAATGCAAAGTGGAGACCAACTTCGAAAAAAAAAAAGAAATTGCGACGGGATTCCCCAAATTTGCCACTTCCCAACTTCACCACCACCACACGATTTCCCGCCCTAACTTCCCAATGAACACCCTTCTACTTTTTTGCTTGCGGCCGTAGATCCCATTCCCCCAATTCTCGAAACCCTATTTCCGGCGTTGTTTGGGCTTCTAAGCTCCCTACTCAGGGTACCTCCTTCCCCCCCTTTTCTGGTTTTGAGCTTCTTGCTTTCGCTTTAATGTGATTCGTTTATCTTTTCGACGGCTCGAGATATCAAAGGGTGAGCTGTAGTTCTGGTATTTGAGCTTTCTGTATGTCGCTAGGAACACTAGAATCGAAGGCTGAAGACTGAGTTACTTATTTAGTTGTTTGGTCAGGGCAGCAGGACATGGGTTTAACTTTTCTAGTAAGAAATTCCTAGTAACCGAGGTGCAACCTAACTCGGAGAATGTTTGATGATAGGTTAAGCAGCGAAGAACCCTTAGAAGAAGCCCACTGATTGAGTTCTCTTGGTCATAGTAATGAGAACCAAGCGGAGGGCTGGACGCCCAAAGAAGAATGTACAGAAGGGAGCTTCTTCTGCTGCTGCTCCTCCAACTGCTGCCTCCCCCAAGCATCATATTGCCACACAGCCATTTGCTGCTACTTCCACAGCAAATCTATCTGCTGCTTCAGCCCCTTTGACTGCAGCTGCCGCACTTAATGCCAATAAGAAGGCATTCTTGAACCTTGTCGGCCAGATTGCCCAAGAAAACCTAGGGCTGGACAAATCTAAGGATCTCGGGCTCCGTGGAATGGGTTCTGGCCCTCGCTTTTATTCGTCTTCTTCTTCATCAAGTGGAGGTGACTCATTCCATGTTGAAGATAATATTAGTGGCTTCGACGTTCCAGGAACTGACTGGTGGGGTGGTGATAAATCAGGGCGCAAGCGTGGTCGGCCTAGAGAAGGGGATGCCACAAAGAGTGTTAGCAATTTGCAGGCGACCTCATTGAGTGGGTTGCATCCTTGGAGCAGTAAGGAAAAGAGATCAAAGAAGTCATGCCTGGATCCCCGATACAATGAGACAGAACTAAAAACTTCCTTTGCAGTATGTTTATGACTAGTTTCTCTGCCCATGTTTTCTTTTCTTAGTTGTATGATTAGTTGATTCATTATATCTTCACTTGACTTGCTGATGTTCCTTTTTTGTTTTCTTTTGTGTGGGTTTAAGATCATTAAGAAGATAATGGATATGGATGAAGCTGCATCATTCAGCGCTCCTGTAGATCCTGTTCTTGTAAGTATGAACAGTTCTCTTTTTGCATTTTAAGGGCAATGTGAAATTAGATAATCCATCACGAATGCTTATGTCCACTTACTGTATTGCCTGCATTCAAGATCTCGATGCCTTGAATGAGTAGCTGTATATTTTAAACTACTTAGCAGTGTCTATAGAAAGTTGGTACTGTTGTCTTTTGTAAGTCAAATGACCAGCAAACATATTCTTTAAAACCTTTCAAAGGTGGATGAGTAGATGAGCCAAAGTAAACAACAATATGATAACTAAGATTATTGTTTTCTTCATAATGTTCGTTCATGTTTTAGACAAGAAGAATGTATGTCAGGGTTGTTTTAAGCAGGCGCATGCGGTAGTTGTTGCTATTACATATTTTGTTCTTGACTTGGCATTTAGAAATTAATACAAATTTTCAAGATTGAATCTTTCGGTCTAACTCAGCCAAGTGAGCGCTTTAATATGACTTTCAACTGATGTTAATGCAGCACGATGCTATTGTTCTTAATTAATGATGTACATATTTTTTTTTTACTTCTCCTACATCTATATAGTGGTTTGAGATGGATTTTTTGTGATCATGTGCAGAATCGCATGGATGCTAGAGATGCACCTATGGATTTTGGAACAATATGCAGCAATCTTCAGAATGGTTTCAAGTACCTAAATGCTGATGACGTATACAAGGACGTGGAGTGCATTTGGGCGCATTGTTTGAAGTATAACAAGAAAGGTGATTATATTGTATACCTTATGAAGAGAGTGAAGAAGAAGTTTCTGAAATACTGGACAGCAGCTGGCTTGCATACTGAAATGCAAGAGACCACAGGTATATTTACACTATGTTGAAGTTTTTCTTAGTGTCTTTGGTGTCTCTGATAATCAGTTTATGCTGACAGTCTTTTGAATTCGTGTCATGTTCATGGAAACGGTCTTGGCCGCAGAATGACCAACCATTCTTCTTTCTCTGGTTTTATATTTTTCATGATGTGTCGAATTCATGGCTTTGGAGTGCATAAAATCCATGATGCCTTGCTGTTTTTTAGTTGTTTAATTGCATAATCTTGGTGCTAATGTTGAAAGTATTGCTTATATTCAATGAAATTGTGTAGGGCAACCTGAGTTTCCACCTTGTATCAATCACAGGATGGGACGCACCAGTTGCGAGGCTAGTTGTGCAGCGAATCTTGTTGATAACCCGACTCAGAAGCATACAGCTCGGGTCACCCCATCAAGCTACAGTCATCAGGCTCAGGTGCATCCATCAAGTTATAATTACAAGGATCAGGTGCTCCCATCAAGCTACAGTAACAAGGCCAAGGTTCCTCCACTGCAGCCTACCATCAATGATTCGCCACAGTTGCAGTCTAGAATCAATGCAAATGATGCAGGTATCTAGTTTTACAAGTTATTGAATCATTTAATTGTTAATTATCTTATCTTTGCTTGTCGGTGATCTGTGAAGATCGAGAGCAACCAGTTATAATTTGCTCTCCCATATTTAACCGTTCCAAGTCGGAACCTGTTGACTTATGTCGAGTCTTTTCATAGTTTGGTTCATCTACTCATCTCCATGTGGGAGGCCCTAAGGGCTCATGATTACACTTTTTTTAAATAATATTGTTCCTCTTGTCAGCTCGTTCTTTAGAGCACCCGCATTGGCAATTACAATTTGATTGCAAAGTCCAATTGGCAATTAATTGGCAATTGCATGAATGTGGTCGCTATTGCAAAGCGGTGATGTGCTTTGTAATGCCACATATAATTTTGATTTCTTTTTTCTGATTTGATTTATACAAACTGTATGGATGTAGTTGTATTGAGAAAACATGTAGGGACTGTATGGATGAGATTTAAAAGTGATGGAAAACTATATTAAAGGTAAAATGGGGAAAACTATATGTAGGAGGGATAGATTTAAAGGTAAAAGGTAAAATGAGCTTGATAACCTCACCATTACTTATCAATTTCCATTTTCTGTGGGTATATTAATTTTTGATTAATAAAACATGACGAGGAAAACTATATGTAGGAGGGATAGATTTAAAAGATCAAACATCCAAACGATTCCGAAGGCCCCATTAATTGTATTTGCAAATGAATTGTATTTATGTGAAATGGTATCCAATTTTTGGAAGTGATGTGATTACTATAAAGTTGTTGTTGAGGCAACAATAGGGGTCACATATGAAATTGTAAATGTATTGCATTGATATGAATGATCTAAGCAGTCTACTATGTGATGACCATTTTTCTTGCAGGACGTTCATATGCCCCCTCACCGGACTCTGCTAGGAAGCAAACAAAAGACGCAACCCGGACTCCCAAGATGACTAAGTCCAGCCATTCCAAGCATCAGCCAAATTCAAGCACATATTACCTGCGACGTCGTGGGCAAAGTGTTAGTCAGCAACAACCAGCTCGGTCTCTTGTTCAAGAGAATGATGGGGCAAGTATGTGAATATAAACTCTTCAGGTTCTTATGATGCTGGAGCTGTAATGCTGATGTTGCATTATGCACTTACAAGGAGTTCTGTTACCTTTTCTACATAGGACCTCCAGATGGGCCGTTCGCTAGCAGTAATTTGGGGCAAAATGGCTTTCTGTCTACAGATGCAGTTAACCCCACAGTTATCAGCCAGAGTCAAGTTCAACCACAACCACCTCCAGCGAGTCAAAGCCAGCGACATGTATCTCAGATACATGAGGGAAGCATTGCACAGCCACAATACTCTGAGCAGTTTGCTACAGCTTCACATGCTGGAGGTATGCTTATGCTGTTTGCTACGCATTAACTTTGCTGAGTTCAGCACCTGTTTCACTTGTTCAGCTCAGCCAATCCCTAGATAGACCCCCGTTTAGCTGTTTTAATCAGTTTATACTTTTTATAATATCATGAATTTCTTTCTTGTTTGATTCTTGTGATGTGCTGCCCAGATGGGGTACTGTTCATTCAGTTTATGATATAATCATGATGATTGGTATTTACCAATATTTGCCGCTCCATAATAATTGGGTGTCATGTAGTTCTGAGATCTTGTTGTTCTAACACTGCTTTTCTTTTGTTCCTTTCTTACCTATCGTCCTTCTTTATCATTGTCTTCTGTAGTGTACTTCAGGTACACCTTTTGCAGATAACTTATATGGGCATTTGTTAAGCTGTATGTAGTTTATCATTTTATCTCAATTGGATAGTCTAAAGAGTTTGAAACAGCTGTGCCATGTTATGAAATTTCTAACGATCTTGTGTGCTTGTCTTTCAGTCTTAAGTTTCTACAAACCTTTTTTCACTTGTTTAAGTAATCAACTCATGCTTGTCAGGCGAGAATGGCTTGAGGGGCGAGAGACAAGTGGAATGGGATGGTTATCAGATGGGAACTGCGACCCCCTCCTTTCATAATCACGCACAGCAGGAGCATTCTGGAAATTACAGCAGCCCAGACAGTCCAGTAGCGCCCATTCGTAGCTCAAAGAAGCGAGTACGAGGCCCGTCCCGGTGTCGTTTTGTGTGGGACATGCCTGATGGTAGCAAAATGGTTGTTCAACTTAATGATTTGGGACAACCAATTGGCTCTGAAGGAAGAAAGCTGGCTTCATTTCTGGGCACCCTGGCACGGGATGGTACCTTGGCTCCCCTTAACTATGGGAAGTGGACTGCATTGCCAAAAGCAAACAAAGAAAGCATGTGGCAGTTGGTTCAGGTAACTGGTTTGAAGCCAGGTTATTTATTGACAAAGAAAGGAGAGTAGTATATCTGAAGGCGTACAATATCTGTGACCTTTGATTCATTGTCTTTCAATTGATCCTTTTCGTTGTCTTTTGAAGGCTAAGTTCGAGATTGATCCCATGGCAAAATCTTGGGTCATGAAGTCTCTTTTTTCAAAATGGACGAGCTGGAAATCAAGGTTGAAGACATATTATTTCTCATGCAAGACTGAGGAGGAGCGCATGAGGAATCTCGACAAAAGAGTCATTCCAGATCAGTGGCCAGGCCTCGTATCCTATTGGAACAAGGAAGAGGTGAAGGTATGTCATTTGGGTAGGAAAAAAATATGGTCCAACGTAATTATTTCTTTTTGTAAGTTTGAGGCTGATATGATGTTTCTTTTTATAGTTGCTTTGTGCTAGGAATAGGGCAAATCGTGCTCATGTAAAACATTCACACACCTCCGGCTCAAAGAGTTACGCAACCATACGAGAGGAAGAGGTATGTCGCTGAAATTAAATTGCACACCTCATGCAGTTACTATTTGTTCAAATGCTAATGGTTTGTGGTATTTCTTTTTGTGCATTTTGTGAGCAGCGTGCAAAAAGGGCCGATGGGAAGACTCCTACTAGAGCAGAGTTGTTTGTGCTGACCCATACACGAAAGGATGGAAATCCTGTGAATGAGGATGCTGCAGAAGTATTTGTATGTTCTGAATGTCACTCACTAAATAACTCTGGTTATAATTATGAGCTACAGATGAAGACTTGGTATTTTCCTTTTTGTCTCAGGAAAAATTGCAAGAAAAAACTACTCAGAGGCAGCAAAATTCCGATGTTAGTGATAGTTCGCATGACACTTTCTTCAAAGTTACAGGCGAAGAAAATAAAAAGAATGTGAGCATGTATGGTCTAGGAGGACCTAGCCCTGCTACTCTTTGGGGACGAAAGTGTGGCCATATCCAGTTTGCAAAAATGGCCATGGAAACCAAAAAGCAAGCTGATGAGGAGGCAAACAAGATTTTCAATAAAGTTGAGGCAGTTTGCAGTAAAGTCGAGGTAATGGAGCAAAAGTATACCTCAATGGAAGCACAGATTGACAGGATGAACTCAAACATGGAGCTTATGCTTCAGAAGATGGGGGTACCTGTGCAATCAAGATCCAATCACTTGAACCAGGTAAATTCAACTTTGTTTGGTTTCACCAATAGTCTTTTGTGGGCTTTACTCACAACATGGCGTGTCATTGTTTTGTTGGTAGGTCGATCAGGCAGAAGAACCATCGTCATCATCAAGTCTTGGAGTTCGAGCAGATCAGGTCATAACTTCTTGCTCCTGAGTTTCTACGTCCGACTTTCTCTTCTACATAGTTTATTTTCTTGTGAATCTTACTAGTTGAACTGCATGGATGTGTCTGCTCTCTCTGAAGCATCATATCATTTCAAGAGCATGCAAGCCATCTCCTGCTGCTACCACTATTGTTGATGTGCTTCTTCCTTAGTTTCGAAATGGTTTTGCGATGCAGGTAGTTCACAGCCGGGCAAACTCTAGAAGGAGCCAGTACTGAGTACCAGCTTCTGTGTAATGCTGCTGCACTCTCCACTATCTGTTTGACTGACTATATCTTGTATTGTTGCTAGGCTCAGTGGAATCTCCCCAGGGTTTGGGAAATGTAAACAAGGTTGGAAACACCAGTCAAGTCGTCGTGCACTCGTCTCCATCAATCCGCGTAGTAACTTTTAGTTACCAGCATAGTCCTGATTGTTGTAGTTTGCTTAAGTACGTTTTTCGCTTGTTGCTGCTTGCTCATCGAGCAAAGTTTGTGGTGAGCTCGAGCTTTACTTAGTTATGTGTGATGCAATAATTTATGGGTGGTGGTAGAGGAGGAGGCTTTAGAACTTATTATTGTCAAACACTGGTCAATGGTCTCTGCTGCTAAGTGGGATTTGAACAATCAGTGCAGGAAGAACTTACGTTAATGGACTATATAGCGACGATCACAATAGTGACGCTACTTGAGGGATGTTTTTTTCTTTTAGCGTATAATACTTAATCTACCCCATTAGGTTATGTTGGTCAGTGGTTACACTTACAAATCTTTAATTTGGTTTAGCGTACATTAATTATCTGTATATCGTATAAAATTTCCCAACACCAGGTTAATATGATGATATTGTTTAAAATTTCAATCAATTGATTAATTGTTTATTCATCAAATTGTTCTTATAATGATCATCAATATACCATTTATTCGTTTTTAACTCTCTTTGATTAATATGTTTAATGGAGTTTGCAAGGAGAGCTTGTCAGTTACACGATGTCTGATTCGACGGATATTGTCTTTCATAAAAAATGACATTTGTTGAAGTGACAAGAAAGAATGTGCTATTAGCATATTGCGCAGCACACACATAACTACGTGTAGATAATTCAAAAGAGTTAATCTAGAATAAATCAATTTAATTCAACTTTTAATATGTTCCTAACATTATTATAGAATTCAATCTATTACAAATATGAGGCGAAGAATTCTTAACTATTAGGATTAATCAAATGAATAATTACGAAGATTCAGGTGTGGTGTTTCAAACAGGGAATTTGATTGGAAATGCATTTGTAATTAGTTCAAACAGGGAATTTGATTGGAAATGCATTTGTAAACAGGGAATTCAATCTATTACAAATATGAGGCGAAGAATTCTTAACTTTATTAGTTCATATGGAAATAATAGAAAGGAATTTGTAATTAATTTGTTTTTAAATGGTCCCCCATAAAATATAGGGTAAATACAATATATTAGCCACAATTATTATGAAGCGGGTAATTGTAACAATTATGGAAATTCAAATTATTAGCCAAACGTTAACGATCTGTGAACAATTTCGTTAGTAATATTGACTAAACTTTTATATTTTAAAGTTATAAATTAAAAGCAGTCCGACGTGGCTGCTGTCGTAGCCGATGACGTGGCCTTCTCCGTTAAAAATTCAATAATAGTAACGGACAGTTAGCCATATCTTGACCCGCAATAATAGTTATGGATAATAATTTAAATTTTTATAATTGTGACTATAATTCCTCACTTCATAATAGATGTGGCTAATATATTGTATTTACCCTAAAATATAAAAAACAAACGATAATTTATGACCAACTTAAATCACAACTCTCTAACGACAATGGCGACACTAACTACTCTCGCCGCCAACAAACCGGTGAATATGCAGGTGCAAAGCGGAGACACATTTAGAGACGAAAACTGCGATGGCAACTGCTGGATTTTCCTTCAACAGCAGCAGTCTCCCGCTTAAATTTCTACGGAACACCTCCCCCTCCAGCTTCTCCGAATGCCACCAGGATCCCATTCCCCCTAATTCCCGAAACCCTAGTTCCTGCGTTTTTTTGATTTTCTGAGCTCTTTTCTCAAGGTACCGCCTTTCTATTCTGGTTTTCGGTTTCTTCTCTTTTCTTTCGATGCCAATTGTTTGTCGGTTTCGATTTCTGCCTCTTTTCCCGTGTGGGTGTATGCTCCACTTCAATTTTACGTACTTCTCCCAAAGGGATTTTTTTGACTTTGTGTCGTTAAAGATGATTGAGCTTGGTTCGAGTTAGCAGAGGGAGAGATTCATTCTTTTTTCTTCTAAAAATGTTCAAGCTTTCTGTGTGGTTTTGTAACAGGTGAATGAGCAAAGGAGTTAGGGAACCAGGGGAAGCACACTACTTGAATTCTCTTGTTTGCAGTGATGAAAACCAGGCGGAAGCGTGCCGCCCCAAAGGCCAAGAGTGTGCAGAAGAAGAAAGCTCCTGCTGCTGCTGCAGCTCCTCCAAGCCCAGTCCCTGCCTCTCCAGAAGATCATAATGGCATAGAGACTCTTGCTGCGGCCACTGAGGCTTTTGCTGCTGCCCCCGCCCCCGAGCAATTTCTTGCTGCAGCCAGGGCGCCTCTATACGCTTCTCCACCCCCTCCCACTGCTTCTGGGGCACTTAATGCCAATAAGAAGGCATTCTTGAACCTTGTCGGCCAGATTGCCCAAGAAAGTCTTCGAATGGACAAAACTAGTGATGTCGGCCACCAGGGAGTTCGTTCTGGCCATCGTTTTAGTTCATCTCCTTCTTCATCATCAAGTGGAGATGACAACTCTTTCCGTGTTCATGGTGGTAATAGGGGCATGGTGGTGGAGCAGGGGATTGAGTGGAGGGGTGATATGTCACGGAGCCAGCATGGTCGACCTACAGAAGGTGAGGCCGTGCAGATTGGTAGCAGTTTACACGTCACATCATTGAGCGGATTGCATCCTTGGAGCAGTAAAGACAGGAGATCGAAGAAGTCATGCCATGATCCCCGATACAATGACAAAGAACTAAATATTTGCTTAGGAGTATGTCAATTTCTTATACTAATTTTTTCTCCATGGCATTTTCTTCTTTGCATAGTATAAATAACAAAATATGGAAGTTTCCATTGTTTAAGATTGAAGAATGCTTGACTAGTTGATTTTTTTTTTTTTTTTGGTTTGGTTTAGGTGATTAAGAAGATCATGTATATGGATGAAGCTGCATCATTTAGCGCTCCTGTTGATCCTGTTCCCTTGGGGGTTCCTGTAAGCAAGAGCTGTTTTCTTACTTTGTTAGTCCGGAATGAACATAGATAATCCATCACGAAAGCTTATGGCCAAGTAAGTGTGTGCACTTACCATTTCAATGCTTGGAATGGTGGTTTGAGATGGATGTTTGTGATCATGTGCAGAGTCGTGTAGATATACCTATGAATTTTGGAACAATATGTAGCAATCTTCAGAATGGTTTCAAGTACCTAAATTCTGATGATGTATACAAGGATGTTGAATGCATTTGGGCACATTGTTTGAAGTATAACAAGAAAGGTGATTATATTGTGTACCTTATGAAGAGAGTGAAGAAGAAGTTTCTCAAATACTGGACATCAGCCGGCCTGCGTACTGAAATGCAAAAGCCTACTGGTATTTTATTTTTCACTCTATTGGTGCTTGTCTTAGTGACTTCAGTTGATTTGATGGTCACTTTATGCTAGAAGTATCTTTTGAGTGTCTTCTGTCATGTTCATGGAAATGGTCTTGGTCCACAGCCTGACCTACCGTTCTTCCATTTCCGGTGCTACAGTTTATAATGATCCGGCAAATGCATGCCTTTGGAGCTGCATAGAGTTTTGGCGGTCTTTCTGTTTTTCAATTTGTTGCATTATTTTGGTGCCATTGTTGGAAGTATTGCTTATTCAATTTAACTCTGTAGGCCAACTTGAGTTTTTGACTAGTAACGGTCAAATGATGGGTCGAATCAGTGTCAGCCCATCAAACTATGGTCACCAGGATCAGGTCAAACCATCAAGCTATAGTCACCATGCTCAGGTGCCTCCTTCAAGCTATAATCACCATGTGCGTCCATCAAGCTATAGTTACCAGACTCAGGTGCCTCCATCAAGCTACGACCACCACTCTCAGGTGCCTCCGTCAATCTACAACCACCACTCTCAGGTGCATCCGTCAAACTACAGCCACCAGGCTCACATGCCTCCATCTAGCTACAGTCATCCGGCTGAGGTGCCTCCATCAAGCTACAACCACCAGTCACCAGCTCAGGTGCGGCCATCAGGCTACAGCCACCAGTCACTAGGCGAGGTGCGTCCATCTGGCTACAGTCACCAGGCTCAGGGGTCTCCATCAAGCTTCAACCACGATGTGCAGGTGAGGCCATCAAGCTTCCTCCAAAGGACTCCTGTCCCTCCATCAAGCTATGATTACCAGGCTCAGGTGCCTCCATCAAGCTCCAACTACCAGGTTCGGGTGCCTCCATCGAGCTACAGCCCTGAGGTTCAGGAGCCTCCATCAAACTACGACCACCACTCTCAGCTGCATCCATCAAGCTACAGTCAACTGGCTCAGGTGCCTCCATCAAACTACAAGGCTCAGGTGCCTCCATCAAGCTACAGTCACCATTCTCAATTACCTCAACTTCAGCCAACCATAAATGAGTCGCCAAAATTACTAGAGCTGCAACCTAGAATCAATGCAGAGGATGCAGGTATATACTTAGATTGGTTATTGGGGGTACTTAATGAAAGTGATGATCTCTGAAGATTGATAGCAAAGTCTGTTACAGATACTCCCTCATTTTTTCAAAGTGCAGGAGAGTGTGGACATAATTGTTCAAGTTCCTGAATTTCAAGAGGACTTGCTTGTTTAATTTGGGGCATCGGCTCGTCCCTTTGTTGGATTCACAAAAGCACTTATTGAAGTTTGTTTCTATGTTCAGTTTGTGTATAAGGGGCCTTCTATTTAGTGGATTTTTGTCTTGCAGGATTTTTGGATGTACCCTCTGCGGATTCTGTTAGGAAGCGAAAGAAAGATTCAGCTCGGGCTTCTATCACGGCTAAGTCAAGCCGTTCTAAGCATCAGTCAAAATCAACCCTACATTATCAGAGACGTCGCACGAGAAGTCCTAGTCAGCAACAGCCATCTCCGTCTCTTGTTCAAGAGAACGACGACACACGTATGTGCATTTGATCTCTTGGGGTTCCTGATGACGGAGCTGTGAGGCCTATGCTTCCATTGCACTTATAAGCAGTTATGTTTCCATTGTGTAGGATCTCCAGACGGTCTGCTTGCTAGGAGTGATTTGGGGCAAAATGGATTTGTGTCCACAGCTGTAGTTAACCCCATAGAGACTAGCCAGAGCCAACTTCAACCACAACAACCTCCGGTTGGTCATAGCCATGAACATCGGTCACAGATACCTGAGGGAAATATTGGACAGCCACAAGACTCTGAGTGGTTTGCTTCTGCTTCACATGCAGGGGGTAGGCTTCTCATGCTGTTTGGTAGTCATGAGTTTGTTGAGTTTTAAGGAATTTCATATCTGTGTCACCTCTGAACCATTCCTTCTGGTTTGAAATTTGCGATGAACTGTATAGTGGGTCTGATGTTCATTCAGTTTATACTTTATAGTGGGTGTGTTTGATTCAGCTAAAAGAGTAAATTTTTCGAGTTTTGGTAAAGGTGAAGAAACCATGTTTGGTTCTGTTTTAGACAAGAATATAGTTGATGTGACGAGATATTTATGTTAGTAATTTTTTTTTGTCCAAGATATGCCATGAAGGCTCACATATATTTTGTTTGATATCATAGGAGTGAGCGAGTTTCCCGAAATGACTATTATGGGCAAAACTTTAAGAATACATTCTTATTTCAAAGTCGCAGTAAGGTGGCTTTTAGATTTTAATAATTTGTCGAGTTCAGCATGAATAGTGGTTTCGAAAAGGTAGATTGAATAAATGTGTTTTTATGTGCATTATAAGTCCAGTTCTTTTGTAGTTTTTCTTCTGCTGAAACAAACAGGCCCAATATTATGATGAGCTTTAGACTGTCTTGTGTGCTTGTTATTCAGTTATCTAAATGACCAACTCATGCTTGTTAGATGTGAATGGATTGGAGAGGGACGCGAGACAGAATGAAGCATGTTCTAATAATTGTCCGACGGAAACTGCAACCCCCTCCTTCCAGCACTCTCCTTCCCCGCATCAGCAGTATGAAGACCACAGCAGCCCAGGCAGGCTGGAAGAGGGTGCACCTAGCTCAAAAAAGCGAAAACGAGATCTGCCCTATCGTCGTGCTGCATGGGACACGCCTGATGGTAGAAAAATGGTTGTTCCCCTGAATGATTTGGGACAAGCAATAGGCTCTGAAGGAAGAAAACTGGCTTCCTTTCTGGGAACCTTGGCACGGGATGGTAACTTGGCTCCTGTTACTCTTGTGCACTGGTCCAGAGTGCCAAAGGCCAACAAAGAAACCATGTGGCTGATGGTTCAGGTAACTCAAAACACCTATGTGTAGGTTAATTGACAAGAAGGAAATGAGTGGGTTGATATAGATAGAGGCTCGTTACGGAAAGAGGGGAGGGGGGGGGGGGGGGGGAGCATTCTCTAAGGTGTACAATTCATATTCTCCTTGATTTCATAATATATTTGTTTCTTTCACTTAATTCCTTCTTTCTCTGTATTTCGAAGGCAAAGTTTGAGATTGATCCAGTAATGGGGAAATCGTGGGTGATGAAGTCTCTTTCTACAAAATGGAGGAACTGGAAAGCAAGGTTGAAGGCAGACTATTACTCGTACAAGACTGATGAAGAGCGTATGAGGAATCTTGACAAGAGAGTGCTTCCCGATCAATGGCCAATTCTCATATCCTATTGGAACAAGGAAGACGTGCAGGTATGTTCTCTGGGTAGAAACATTTATCAGGTCCAAACTTAATCGTGTCTTGATGTAAAGTGGAGGCTGAAATATCATGTTTCTTTTTGTAGTTGTATGCTGCAAGGCAGAAGGCAAATCGTGCCAATCTTAAAGGCGGACACACCTCTGGTTCAAAGAGTTATGCGACCTTAAGGGAGGAAGAGGTAGCAACTTATTGAAATTAAAATCACACAACTCATGCAGTTTTGATGGTCAAATAATAGTGGTTTAAGGTCTTTTTGTGTGTGTGTGTGTGGAATGTGAGCAGCGTGCGAAAAGGGCTGATGGGAAGGCCCCTACTAGGGCAGAGTTGTATGTGCTGACCCATACACGAAAGGATGGAAATCCTGTCAGTGAAAAAGCCGCAGAAGTGATCGTATGTTCTAAGTTCAGTGCAGTTCATAGATTTGTGGTATTAATTATTGTAATTGATTACAGAATCAATACTTGGTGATTTCTGTTTTGGTCTCAGGCAAAACTGCAAGAAAAAGCTTCTGAGAAGCAGCAGGATTCAGAAGCCAGTGATAGTTCTCGTGACACATTCCGTGATGTAATGGGTGAAGAAAAGAACAGTCATGTGCGTATGTGTGGTCTGGGACCTACCCCTAACACTCTATACGGCCGAAAGTGTGGCCATATCCAGTTTGCAAAGATGGCCATGGAGGCCAAAAAGCAAGCAGATGATGAAGCAAACAAGGTTTATCATAAAGTGGAGGTAATTGAGCAAAAGTACAACTCCATGGAAGCTCAGATTGCTAGGATGAACGCAAACATGGAGCTTATGCTCGGGAAGATGGGTGTACCACCTGTAATGTCAATATCGACACACACAGACCAGGTAAATATCAATTCGATTGTTTTCATCAGACTCCTTTTGTGGACCAACTCTCAACATGGCCTTGTATCATTCTTGGTAGGTTGATCAGCACACAGGTGCTCGGGAGAATCCACATCAGCCAGAAAAACCATCATCAGCATCATTATCGAGTCATGGAGCTGATAAGGTCCTAACATCTTGCTCCTGAGTTTCAACAGTTGAACTGCATGGGTGTTCTTACTCGATTACTTTTCTCAGATCCAATGGGGCACACAATGCTATAAACATGTATTTATGTGTGAGAGTTCATGAGCCACTCTCTTTGAGCCTGTATAATTTCTCACAAGGTTTAGCCGACTCACGATGTGACATTCAAAATTTGCCTCTGTAGTATCGACTTGATCATCCAAGCGTGTTTGTGTGCCACCAAAAGTCACAGGAATGATTAGGTATCCCTCCTAGAAGTGGGTTATCTCAAGAAATTTGAGAAAGTATCACTAGGGCACCATTATGCTCAACATTCATTGATTTATATGATATGCATTCTAACAAAGATGTGCTTACATCACTCATCTTGGTTGATGCTCTGACAGACATGAACCCTGAATCTAACCAAATAAAAAGGGTACATTCAAATTGACATTCTAGCGGAATTTCTTCCAGTTAGATAAGGCATCATCTTGACAGAATGTGGAATCAATCTTCCCAAGCATATATTAGAAACTAGTTGCTTGGTTGGTCAGACCAGCATCACCTAATTGCTTCTGCCTCCTTCATAGTTCTTTCTCAACATTGCCACTATTTTTATGGTAGGAGGTTGCCGAAGGCATGTCCCCTCCAATGTAGGGCAAATACCTTGCTAGGTCCCCTACATGTGTTCCATCAATCCAAGGCAGCAGCATGTCCCTTCCAATTGTGGCTGTTGTTGTAGGACATGGTACCCCTAAATACCTCTCATCTCCCTCACGTCTGTGCTGTAGTTATGTCATATGTGGATAGATCCATATATGGATATGACATCACTAAGCTTCACCATAGGATCAATATGGATATGACATTATGTGGCCCGCCCAGCTGTAGGGTACCCTCCAATGGTTCCCCTGCATTCTGTTCCATCATTGCCAAGACAAAACCATGTGAGACTGCCTGAACTATGTCCAAATTCAGTTTTGGTTCTTCTGAGTTGTAGATGGGAAGCCCGGAAGACTTATATCTATATAAAGGGTCTTATAGTAGCTGCTCAATCCACAAATCACAACCAACGCAAAGATAATTTCAAGTCTTCCAATTCTTCACTGAGTTCTTCTCTTTCATCACCACAAGTTGAAAATCCAGCCAAAGAAAGCACCATGGGTATTGGGTTGCCAGGCAACATTGCTAACCGAATTCTTCGACGATCCGGTTCTGGTGGCTTAAGCAAATCGTCGTCATCATCGTCGTCGTCGAGGTTTCCAGATGTTCCCAAGGGTCACTTGGCAGTTTATGTGGGAGAATCACAGAGGAAGCGGTTTGTAGTACCAGTGTCGTATTTGAGCCAACCTTCGTTTCAAGATCTGTTGAGTATGGCTGAAGAGGAGTTTGGTTTTGACCATCCAATGGGCGGCTTGACAATTCCATGCCGGGAAGAAACTTTCATTTCAGTGACTTCGAACCTGAGTTGATTGAAGGAATGGAGATGATGAAGTACCATTTTTGTATAGATACACGATAGAGGAATTGTACATGTACTACTAGAGATATCTTTTTTAGCCGCAAGAAGCTTTTGTGGGAAAGCCAATATTGAATGGAAAAGCTCTTCTCTTACAAACACTGGAATGAGCTGGAGCAGTAATTTTGTATGACAGACATCTCTGGTATAAATGACACAAATATTGTTTTGTTTTTTAATTTACCACCAATATGGCGGATTAAAAAGTATTTACACAGATATTGTGTTTTGGAGACAAAAAATGGCGAGAACACCTGGGACTCAGGCGCCGCCGCTGTGGATGACATTTTGGATCGTTTTATTTAAAAGTGACAGCGCCGGCGCCCAAGACTCAGGTGGCACCGCCTGAGACATCAACGAGTTAGGTGGGAAATTATCCCAGGCGGCGGCGCCCGAGACTAAGGTGGCACCGCCTGAGACATCAGCGAGTTAGGTGGGAAATTATCCCAGGTGGCGGCGCCCGAGACTAAGGTGGCACCGCTGCCTTATTGGCCACCCCCTATATAAACCCAGCCAATTTCGTTCCAGTTTCACACCACAAAAAAAATCGTCCAAAACAAAGGAGAGAGCTCTGGTTGCTGCTGCAAAAATGGCTAATAGGTAAGAGACACATTTATTTTGTAATTATATTATTCAAATGCTATTATGATTGTGTTTAGTTTTAATTAGTGAGTTTGTTTTTTTGTAGTGATTTTAGAAGATTTGAACTAGTCGTTCGGTGGAAATCGGAGAAAGTAGAGGATAATTTGGGCGTCAAATTCGTTGGCGTAGTAGTTTTCAGATGACGATTCCATCCAGGGTCACATATCATTATCTTTGTGAGAATCTAATTCCGAGAATACGGCGTAGAGACGAAGCAGTACAAGATAGTGATGTGATCACAGGTTTCACTTACCGTCTTCCAGAATGGCAGAATGGTGTTTTATTTCATTATGCGATGCCTATTGTGGATGATGATAGCTTGAATGTGCTTTGGAATTTTATGGCACAAAATCCTTATTGTTTGGGTGCTGAGATACATGTTGAACTCAGTGAGGATCAGGGTGGAGAGGAAGAAGATGATTCATGGAGCGTGCCATCCGATCATGACTATGATGACGGTGATGACGGAGAGGAGGAAGATGAGGAGGAGGAGGAGGAGGAGGAGGAGGAAGAGGGGGAAGGAGAGCAGCCTAATTATCCTCCATATTTTTACTTGCAGGGTAATGAAGAGGACGAAGAATACTCACTTGTTGATTCATATGGCGTAATTCCAATGCCTATTGTTGATAGTTTTGAAGGAGAATTCTACAAGGGGCAGATATTTCACTCGAAACAAAGCTGCACAGATGGCGATTAAACACCACGCACTACAACGCAACTTTCAATATGGCGTGGTGGAGTCGTCACCTTCAATCTGGAAGGTCAGATGCTTGAGGCACAAGGATGACAATTGTCCTTGGATGGTGCGGTTTGGATGTCGAGATGTTGGAGGCGAATGGACTGTGAGAAAGGCTGAGTTGGTGCATTCTTGTAGCAGTACGACTCAACCGACGGATCATCGCCATCTTGATGTCGACATGATATCTGAGGCCGTCAAACATTTGGTACTTGCCCAACCAAATCTGAGTGTTTTAACTGTGCAAGCCGAGTTGAAAGATAAGTTTAATATGCAAGTTACTTACAAGAAGGCTTGGTATGGGAAACAAAGAGCATTGGAGAAGTTGCATGGAAATTGGGAAGAATCCTACGATTTTTTGCAAACATTCTTGCGGGTAGTCAAGAGAAAAATGCCAACTTTGGTGATTGATTGGGTAAGAGTTCCTTCGACTCAACCAGGTCATTCGATATTCCAGCGAGTATTCTGGGCTTATGGACCTTGTATAGATGGAACATTTCTTACTGGGAAGTATAAAGGAGTGCTACTCATGGCGAGCTCATTTGATGGTCGGGAGAAGATTTTTCCAATTGCATTTGCCATAGTGGAGAGCGAGAATACTGAGAGTTGGCCATGGTTCATAAGGAACGTTCAGGGTTTGAATGATCGAAATGATGTATGCATCATCTCAGATAGACATGCAGGACTCTATGAAGCCATGAATAACATCGGAAGAGGTTGGGAGTGGAGGTGGTGCATGCAACACTATGCAAGCAATTTGCAAAGGAAGACTAAAAGCAGAATTATGTATAAGCAACTATTTCGAGTCGGTAAGCCTTCTTCATTTAATTATGTTATTTATTTTCATGTAATTTTGTCATGAATTTATCTAACCCGTGTGGTTGTTTATTTTGTTAGCTGGAGAAAAACGGTTGGAGAAGTTCGATCGTCAAGTTGAGCAATTTAAGAAGGTGGCCAGTGATAGAAATATTTCATGTGATAACTGGGTGGATCAACATCAGATTCGTTGGAGTTTAGCACATGATAACTACAACGGTGGGCGTCGTTGGTCTATACTGACATCCAACATGGCAGAAAGCATCAATGGTGTTTTCAAAGGTATTCGTGCACTTCCTATAGCTTCTCTTGTGCAACATACCTATTGGCGATTGGTGGAGAAATTCGAAAAGTACAGGTTGGAGACAAGAGCAGAAATTAGAAGTGGTCCTTCACAGTACTCCACCAAGTGCGAAGAGCTGATGAAGTACTGGTCACAAAAGGCAGTTGGACATTCTGTGACAGCTCTTGATCGGAGTCAAGGCATCTATGTAGTTCAGACCCCCCCCAACAATTTCAACATGATGGGGTCAAACGCACTCACTGTGCACTTTGACGACCAAAACCGGGAGGGATTTTGCACCTGTGGTAAATTTCAAGGAAATAAAATTCCTTGCTCTCATGCCATTGCAGCTTGCAACCGAATGGGGGCTAATGCGTATAGGTTTGTAAACAATGTCTACAAGCTGGAAACAGTGATGGCTTGTTATGGGACAAGTTTCGCACCTCTTGGTGAACCTAAGGGTTGGAAGAAGCATAATGGTCCTACTCTCCATCCTAATGTGCACATGATTAGGAAGCCGGGGAGGCCACGAGTTACAAGGATTCACAACGAGATGGATTGGCTAAGGGAGGGTGCATCACACCAAGTGTGTAGCAACTGTAACCAAGCGGGACATAATGCATCAACCTGCGGTGGCCAAGCTAGTGGGAGTGGGAGCAACCGAAGAGGGAGTGGTGGCCAACCAAGTGCGAGAGGTGGTAGAAGAGGAAGTAGAGGTAATAGACGTGGCTGAGAAGTTTGTTCAAATGTAGTAGTTGTTGTATTTCCTTCGAATAATCCTGTAGAAGTTGTTGTTTGAAGTTGTTGTAGTTTGGTATTTAGTTGTTGTATTTCCTTCGAATAATCCTGTAGAAGTTGTTGTTTGAAGTTGTTGTAGTTATCACCACCTGAAGCCATGTTTCCGCCTCCCATCGTAGTATGCTGCGGTGTATGGAAGCTATCCTCTGGCTGATAGAAGCTCGAAGACGGATCTGACTGAAACTGCTGCCGTCGCGGCGACTGAAAGCTCGAAGACGGATCTGAATGAAACTGCTGCCGTCGCGGCGATTGAAAGCTCGAGGAAGGATATGACTGAAACTGCGACCGAAGTGGATTAAACTGGAAGCTCCTCGATGTAGGCCGGATGGGTTGTGCTCGCTGTCGATCTGAAACCCGGAATGGGTTAGGTACATCACGATGCTCACGTTGCTGTCTACGTGGCCTATGCTCCTGTCTGAACTATGGCCCTGGGACGACCTAGCCCGGTGTCGGATCAGTACGCTCTGGCCAGGCAGTCATGACAGGCTTCGCATAATGGGGCTGTACAGGTACTGTGAGATCAGGGTATCTACGCTGCTCAAACCCTAGAGTAGCAACCCCGGATGCCATAAAGTTGGCCAAGTCCTCACATTGGTCAGGGGTCAGCCCTCCAATCCTTACACCGTCACGCAAACTCACCTCAGCATGCTCGATAGTGTCGTACTAAAAAACATCAACAAAATGTCAGATATTTCACACAGTTAACAACAAATTAAGCAAATAAATCAAATAACTAACCAATGCCTCCGCTACAGCTCCTCTCCGTGTGCCGGAATGTCTGGTGACATCTCTATACCACTCCATATGCTCCGAGTGGTAGGCTAACTCCTCATCAGTGTATAAAGCTGTCGCTACAAACTCGTGTCGACGGTTCCAGAAAGCAAGCGACTCTCTGGAGGCGTGTACCAACTGCTGCCCACGCGATGGCCCACGAGTAGCCTGGCGAAGAAAAAACCTAACCTCAGCCTCAGGATGTGGCGGATGAGGCTCATGCTGCCTCATGCCAAACTGTCGGAGCACGCGGTCTGGATGATGCCACATCACCGATGAAAAGCAGATAAGTGGCACTACTGCTCGAAATGTCTCAGACTGTATCACACTACCTCTGAGATGAAGTGCTCTCTCACGGTAAGGTTGCCACTACTTAGCAAAAATTTAACGTTATTATCCCTAAATCTAAAAAAATAAAACAAATGAAAACTATTCTATAAAATTGAATGTTATATACTAACCACCACGGTGTCCATCGCGTCAAACCACAGCTTGTACTGGAATAGCTGGTCACCATACTGACGACTGTTGGCTGAAAGCCATCGAAGACCACGTGGGGATGCATCCTCGGTGGCCTGTGCCCTCGTCTCTGAATCTCGAGGTGCCGGAAGTGGAAATCGCTCCCACGCCCAGAACTGCAGTAGGGCGACCCATCCACCAAGGCCACCGCTTAGAGAAGTGCCGGTATGCGTAATGTGCAAAGTCGACCTACCCATCTCACAGTACAGGTACGATAAAACAGCAGCTCCCCAGGCGAACCGTCCAGCTCTCTGCCAATCCTCAATCAGAAGTAGGTACTGTAGGTGCACCGTAGATCCAGACCGATCCGGGAAAAGTACACCTCCAATCAGAGATAGAGCATAAGCTCGTGCAAACTGCTCTATAACCTCCTGTGATGCATTTTCCCGTAGATGACTGAATTCAACCCTCAGCCAAACAATCCTAACAACAGCGACACCTCCTACAAGATCAGCCGGAACCCGTCCTAACAGTCTCAAACGATCGCCGACCAATCCTCATCCGGTATATTAACTACGACGGCATCACCGTCGATCGCCAGACCGAACAGTGTAACAACGTCCTCTAACGTGATCGTGATCTCACCACACGGTAGATGGAAGGTCGACGTCTCGGGTCGCCATCGCTCTACGAGCGCAGTATTCAAACTCGCATCGGGGTTCATAGGGACTAGGGGCACGACACTTAACAAGCCTGCCGCTTCGAGATATGGCCGATAAAGCTCATGGTAAGGTACTAAAATGGTCGTACCTCGAACATGGTAAGATCGATCACCAGCCTATAGTGCACAAAACTTTTATTAATTCATCTTCATTCGTAATAATTCTAATTTCACCTAATTAATTCTAATCTGTCTAATCTAATATCAAATTATACTAATTCCAAAAAATCTGATACGTAATCCTATTCTCTAACAGTACAGTTCAGTTCACCAACTAAAATAATCTAATTAGCTAATTAACTGTATATGAATAATTATCAAATACTTACCTCGTTTGTCCAAACAGAGTCGATACGATGTTGGCCATGTCCCCAAAGAAGTGTCGCATCGACCGGACCTGGATCAATTGTCGCCGGCGGTAATCTCATCGAATAAGGATCCATAAGCCTAGGAATTGCAAAAACAAAGCAACAAAACATAAAAAAAAAACACAAACCATTAAAAAAAAAATTTCAAGCCGCCGACGAGAGTCTCACCGCGCAAACGGCCGCCACGACCTCACCGGCCTCTCCCCCTGCCTCTGCCGGCGTCGACTTCTTCTTCGTCGGAGGACATCTCCGGGCGGTGGCGCTTCTTCTGGCTGCGGCGGCGCCGGACTCTGGGGCGGTGGCGCCTGACTCTGCGGCTGATTCGCTTTGCTCAGCGGCGGCCTCGCTGTGTCCTGGTGGCTGTGGCGCTAGGTGGCTGCGACAACGGGAGAGGAAGAAGAAGAAGGAGGGTGGTTGTGTGGTGTGTGGAGGAGGAGGAGGAAGAAGAAGAAGATAAGGCTGTGGTTGTGTGGTTGTGTCGGGTATTTAAAATAAAATGGACTAAGGTGGGAGCGCCTTAGTCTCCGGCGCCAGCACCTAGGCCAATTAAAATAAAAACGGACAAAGGTGGGAGCGCCTTAGTCTCCGGTGCCAGCACCTACGACTTTTTTAAAATTTTTGTTAAAGCGGCCCCGCCTGAGTCTTAGGCGGCCACGCCTCCATCTAGCCAAAAAACACAATATTCTTGTCAATACTTTTTAATCCGTAATATTAGTGGTAATTTAAAAAAAACAATATTTGTGTCAATAACCCCACATCTCTGCACGACGACAGAAATCGGCATAAATTCGTAATAGTTGTTGTCATAACACTTGATATGGATGCTCTAAGAGAAGCAATTAAGAAGGTAAACCAGGCAGCAGTTAACAAGTAACTGTAAGATCAAGCAGGCAAAATATCACTCATAGATATATAACCGCGGACATCCGAAACCTGATCCGGTTTAGACATAGTTTTCGTATTCTAGCCAAATGTTGTGTGGATATGAGCAAAACACGAACTATTTTGAGTAGGGTAATGTAATGAATATATACTTTACACCTCTGATCAGATTCATTGCCGTTCCTACTTGAATTGGGCTTGCATCAGTACATGTATCGCGGAAATGAATTAAAGCCTTATAGACTTAATCGACCTCATTCAAATTGGCAACATGCTAATAATTAAAAATAGGACTTTGCTACGATGATTCGCAAGTCATCGTGACTTGGACAAAATGGTCGACCTCTTCACTGATATGGTCGACCTATTTGGACAAAATGATTGACCTCATTATTGGAATGGTCGACCGAATGTACTATTTTTCATTTTTCTATGTTCAACAAATGGTCAACCTCTTCCACTAAAAGGCACTATACAAAAAAATGGTCTACCAATTTCATCAAATGATCTACCTCTTTCCCCAAGTGGTCCACCTCTTTCAATAATTTATCCACCTGATGAACCATTCCTAGTGAAATCATCATATATAATTAGAGTCCAATAACAATGGATATGCTTGCTATTAAGAGATTTAAAATCAGTACAAAGGCTGCAAGCATAGACGACAAGCTTCTTGAGTGATTGTTCTCCCGTAGATTTGAAAAATGTTCAACATATTTATTTCTTATATGTGACTTACTTTATAGGGATTTTCTTCTTTCTTTCAATTTCTAAGTTTTATCGTTTCTAACTTTCTATCCAATAATTGTCTTGTGATAGATCAACTTTGTTGTTATTGTTGTTATGAGGATGCTCAAGAAGTAGAGAATATTTGTTATACAATTGTGTCATCTTCGACGTTCATAAATATCATATCATCACTTTTGTGGATTTTTATTCATGAAGAGTTGAAAGAGGGTGTTTCTTTTTGTCTCAGCCTATACTCTGCGTAGAGATTTTGTTGCCCACAATTGATAGGATGTTGCGTTAGTACAAAAATAATTTTATATTGTTGGTCTCCTATTGTCCATTATTTTCCTAATGTAAGTATAAGATAATTGTGTTAAATAGTCGACTGTTCTTCGGAAGAGGAGATCATTTGCGAAAGCGAAACAGATATGTAAACCATTTTGCGGAATCGATAGGTTGTTTTGCGGGAAGTGGTCTACCTCCTCCAACAAACAGTTGTAAGTTGAAGGTAAGTGTGTCACAGGTCGACCCATTGCCAGAAGTGGTAGACCGGCTGCCTTGAGTGGTATACCACTTGGTGAAAGAGGTCGACCACTTAAGGTAATTATGTCATCAGGCCAACCCATTTTTGAAGCGGTAGACTGTTGACTTAAGTGGTAGACCACTTGGTAGAAGAGGTCGACCACTTGAAGGTAAGTGTGTGTATGTCATCAAGTCGACCCATTTCCGGAAGTGGTAGATCGAAAGACTCAAGTGGTAGACCAATTGGTGGAACTAGGTCGACTATTTTCTTAGAAAGTGGTCGACCACTTGGTGAAAGAGGTCGACCACTTGAAGGTAACTGTGTCATTAGGTCAACCCATTTCCGGAAGTGGTAGACCGAATGAATCAAGTGGTAGATCACTTGGGGGAAGATGTCGACCATTTTCTTGGAAAGTGGTCACCCACTTGATGAAAGAGATCGACAATTTTCTCCAAGTTATGGTGACTTGCAAGTCACCATAGGCATAACCTTAAAAATATCATCTCGTTTTATTGGTAAATAATTTATGAATTGGAGTAAGTGAAAAAATATGAATTTTTACCTAACTTACTTGAAATTACCACTTGATTTCAATAATGCTAAAAGAAGTATTTACGTTCGATTTGAGTTCTCATCTCCACTTGTTGACCCAAATTATGAATTAACTTGAGTTGAAACGAACTATAGCCCCTTATGTAAGTATATGTTCGAGTCTCATGCTTTAATTAAAAAAAAACTTGCCTTTATTTTATAGTTCTAGACACTATACGACACAATGCATTGGTAAGAAGTAGCGATATGAACCTAAATTATTTTTAGCTGTTAAAGTAATTTACAAATTATTTTAAAAAAATAAGCAATACATCAAACACGATTTATCCAATCAACAAGTGGATACGAAACTACTTTATATAAGGTATTACCGTATATTATAGGATAATTTCTTTCAATTAGACCCACATGATATCCACTTGACACCATATCTAATTGAGGCCTCATCCACTTTTCCTTCCCAAGATTGCCTAAGGCATGTCTCCTACACAAATATGACAGTTAGCATCACCATGTCCACATCCTTACAGAACCATTATGTGACCATTCATTGGTCATTTGGTCTAGTCCCCTCCAATTGTAGGGCATGTACCACCCTAGGCCCCCCCCCCCCCCCCCAAAATTTGTTACCTCAATCCAAGACAGAAGCATGCGACATTCTTCAAAACCATTGCCAAAACCTTCATCTATATAACGGTGCCCATGAGCTCTTTTCAGAACCAATTCATACCAAGCCTCTCAATTGTCATTTGTTGAGCTAGACCCTCCAGTTCACATCTTTTCTTCCTTATAAACTCAAACTAGAACAAAGAAGTATCATGGCTATTGGCTTGCCAGGTAACCTTGCTAAGCAAATCCTTCGAAGATCAGGCTCTAGCTCGAGCAAATTGTCTTCTTCGAGGTTTTCAGATGTGCCGAAGGGTTACTTGGCGGTTTATGTAGGAGAGACACATAATAAGAAGCGGTTCGTGGTGCCAGTTTCGTACTTGAGACGACCTTCATTTTAGGATTTGATGAGCATGTCTAAAGATGAATTTGGTTTTGATCATCCAATGGGTGGGCTGACCATTCCCTACACTGAAGAAACTTTCATTTATGCTACTTCAAACCTTAGCAGATCATGAGGAATAATGATTGGTGGAATCAATTGATGAAGAGCCACAATCTTGTATAGCTAGCTAGGTCGGATAGTACTGTAAATATGGAAATAGAGCTTCTCTTCTATTCTGCATTCTCAGTTGCATGTTAATTCCTTTTCTTTTGCCACCTTTTACTTGCATGTTGTTGTTTATCTTTACCATTGGAGGATCATCTGATGCCATCTAATTTGGGAGAAATGGCTTCTTTGTTTTGCAAAAGGGAACTAAAATCTTACTTTTGATAATTTGACAGTCATTAGTTAGCAATACCGAAAATTTGAACACAGAACCTTTCTATCATCCAGCTCGTCTTAATTTTCTAGTTGTTACGAGAGAGACTCAAATATGAAACTACCATCCTAGTTTCTAACACCTGATGACCTGAACGTTATTCAAATATCAGATATGTTGCAGTAAGATTGAAATAGGTCTTACCATTTTACTAATCAAATATGGTAATCTAGTTGATTACACCTTCATCTATGCTTCTTCAACAATCAGAACCTTCCATCTTCTTTGCCTGATAAGATGCCCTTATGATATATCTACATTAATTGTCTCAACATGTGTCTAACTGAGAGCGACAATTCAATTCACATCTTCCTCGGAACTTGTTAGGCAAAGTCTTACACATCCTATATTGATGAGAAGGTGTCACAGGTCCTTCTGTGCGGTTGTCGTAGGACAGGGTGCCCCTAAATACATACCATCTCCCTCACATATGTGATGTAGTTAGAAGGCAGGGCCATGTGAATAATCGATCTCATATGAAGACATGGATTTGATTGCCTCATTGCACTGCTATGATAAATACACAAGTTGGTTGCCTAAGCCATGTCTCCTACCTAAATTCGACACTAAGCTTCACCATACGATCAATAGAGATGTAACATTATCTGGCCCTCCATAGCCAGTCCTCCTAACTGTAGGAGTGTAGGGTACCCTCCAATGGTTGGCAAGGCAAGAGCATGTGAGACGGCCTGCACTATGTCCCAATATTAGTTTTGGTTGTTCTGAGTTGTAGATAGGAAGCCTGGAATACTTATCTATATATATGGTCTTATAGTGGCTCCTTTATTCAAAAATCATAAGCAATACAAAAAAGTCCTTCAAGTCTTTCAACTGTTCAGTGAGATCTTCTCCTCAGCTCTTTCATCGCCATTAGGTGATCCAGTTAAAGAGAGCACCATGGGTATTGGGTTGCCAGGCAACATTGCTAAGCACATTCTTCGACGTTCCGGTTCTGGCAAATCAAGAAAATCGTCATCATCATCAAGGTTTTCAGATGTGCCAAAGGGATACTTGGCAGTATATGTGGGAGAGTCACAGAGGAAGCGGTTTATAGTACCAGTGTTGTATTTGAGCCAGCCTTCATTTCAAGAACTGCTGAGTATGGCTAAAGAGGAGTTTGGTTTTGATCATCCAATGGGTGGTTTGACAAGTACATGCCGGGAAGAAACTTTCATTTCTGTCATTTTAAACCTGAATTCACAGAGACTTGCAACTGAAGAAATGGACATGTTGAACCACAACTTTTGTATAGGTAGATGATAGGAATGGTACATGTACTATATAGAGCTTCTGTGGGAAGAACAATACTGAATTTATAGGCTTTCCTTTCACAAACACTACAATGGGATTGAAATTCCTACATAATGACAGACACTACATTGAAATTCGCAATAGTTGTTGTCATAACACTTGGTACGCAGGATAACAGTCGAGATGAAATGAGCAGACTAGGTAGAGTATAAGCTGTTAAAAGTTACAACTATTTCAGAAGACAAGGCAAAATGAATCAGGATGATCTTGCAAACCTACAAGGTTAATGTCATAGCTAGTTCGTCCCTCTCGTTTCTGTTCTTTCTTTTTGGTCTTTCCAGTCTCCTTCGAAGTCAACTAGTCATTGAGAAGGACAAGAAAAATACACAAGATGGTGTTCTTCAAACTGCACAACACAGTTTTGAGTCGATTGAAGACAAGCATAAGCCGAAAGCCTGGTAGCTAGTGAGTGGATATATGCAAAATGACGCAGTAGAAAAGAAGAGAACCCACCTTATGTCAATACCCTTACTTAGTTTGTGATTTGTGTGAAAGAAACCCGATGAAATTTTACATGAAATCCATCACAAACTTGGATTTGCCTATCCTCCCAAGCTGCAAGACTATCTGCTTCCCATTTTCCTGAAACATGGCAAAGTCGAAACCAATCACAAGATTAAGCCATCACCAAGGGGAAAATCTTTCCTTACTACTACTAGCTTTTCAGATCAAGAAGGATAATATCATACCTCTAATGTCAGTTGGAAGTTCTTCACTGATTTGGATCTTAAGTCCAGCTCTCCCCTTGTCTCTAAAGTCCAACTCATATTGCTTTGTCACCTGATCAAGAAATCCAATAACCCGCCTCAATATAACCCGACTCATGATGGTAGCCTCTAAATGCTAGAGCTCACAAGATGAGTGTCGTTGCTAGCTTTTCCGGAGGTCTTAGACACGGGTTCAAATGACTGTAATTGTCTTGGACATGAGGAAAATGCTTTTTGGGTGGTGGCAAACACCTTACAATAAAACTCACATTGTTGTAATGAGGCGTCCTCGAATGTTTTGTTCACTTTGTTCCTTCTCTCCTCCCAGTCATTTGGCAGACCATTGATGTGCAGCACCTGATCAAATAAAATAAAACATTGTTACTGTAACACAAAGTGATTCAATTTGCAGCAATTAGATGAATCATTCACTAGATTCCACCTCCCAACTCACCTGAGTAGTGTTCTTTAGCTGCATAGACTGATGCTTGGGAATATATGTTCTTCTGTAGCTTCCAGTCCAGGTGCCAATGGTGGGTACAAACCTTTAGAAATAAGACCGAGAAATGCGAAAAAATTGTATCAGACCAAATGAGGAGTTCAAAGGGCCGAGGAGTTGGAGTCTTGTGTAGAATCTGCCTTACGTGATAACACCTAAAAGTGGATTCCCTTGTTTCTTTGAACCATTGGCAGAATCGAACTGTAATTCAGTTTATCCTCAATTAGCACAACACAAACAAAAATGGTGGCAAATAAAAGATTCTGTCTTTAAGCATTCTAGAAGAGAAATATTGAAACCTGAACCTGATTCTGATTCCAAATGTGGTACTTGGAACCTAGGAGGTTAGCAGTCACATTCCCAACAAAAATCTCATCTGAACAACAGACAAGTCCTTTCAATTTCTGAGCTATGATAAACTCAGACCTTCCCCCATGGCGCCTATGGTGGGCTATCGCCAGTTTCCAATCCTGCTTCCGATGCCCTTCCTAAAAAATGGTAAGCAACAAAAACTCTCCCATGAATCTCAATCGCCCTATGGATCAAACATCCAAACCAAAGGAAATCAAGCAGCCCAAAAGAGATCCTCACATTCGTATAAAGGGAATTGACAGTGCCACCAACTAAGCTGTCCGGCGAAGCTTCTTTCACTATGAGGCAAGTGGATCTCCTAACATCCAGTGGCAATGGCCTACACAACAGAGCTCTGGAAAAGAGAAAGGAACCCATGGAATTGGGACATCAAGATTGGAACAAGAAAACAAAAATCAATGATTTGATCAGGGGAAAGAAAAGAGGCTACCTGTTTGGCAATGCGGACCAAGAAGAAGCAGGGGCAGCCTCAGAATCTGAGTGGTCCCAAATGTTAAAAGAGGAAGAGTGGTCTGATTGAGCACATGAGGAAGCATCCCAAATCATCTTGTTCGACTTGAAAGCTCGATCGGGCTATTCATCGGCATACACATTTGCAGTGACGAAGACTTCAGAGCCCTCCCAGTAGACAGAGACTTCTTCCTCTGCTGCATAACTAAAGAGCCGTTGGTAGAAGACGACAAAGAATTTGAATTTGAATTCGAAATCGAATTCAAGTTCCTCCCAAACGGAACAGAATTCTCCTTGTCGTTGTTGTCGAAGGAGCTGGTGTTTGCATGGTTGTTCTCTTTATTGATCGTGAAATGTCTGCCAACGACAGAGAGAACGTCTCCGTCACTACAACTATGGTGGTGGTGCTTGGGCGGAGGATTATTTGTAGAGGAGAGTTGGTTCGACAATGTGGGTATGTCGGGATTGGCCATTTTTGGGTTGGAGAAGGGTGAAAGCATCGATCTTTGTTGGTGAAACAAGCTTCACATTTGCAACAATGGAGAGGAAAATGTTTGCAGCGAATTCTCTCTTTCTCTCTGGTTGTACTTGTACGAACTGAACGTATGAATTTGAAATAGAAGCCATTTTCGGGATGGGGGAGGGAGATGAATTTGAATTAAATAGCTTAAGAAAATGTGTGGGTAGTTGGGCTCACTGGGCTTCAGCAGCCCTTTCTCTTTTTTTGTATCGGAAAATCAATTTGGGGTCCATAATAATAATAATAATAATAATAATAATAATAATAATAATAATAATAATAAAAACACCTTATTCAATTTTCAGAATAGTTTTATATAAAGAAAAATCAAATTTACGATCACATTTATCATCGTGAATTTGAACTTTGTATTTATATAATCCTTTCCAATCCTATATGACGTTCCCTATAGGAACCTACGTGATTGTAATTGCAGCTCCCTGCGCAACTCAAGGACGGGCTTCTTGGCAATTGTGAATGGAGCTTATTTTTTCTTTTTGCCGTGCAATCTCATTTTTGTTACTTATGTTGCTTCCTCTTCTATCAAGATTCGAGTTCGACTAAAGCAGAATATATATGGGCTTACCATATTTTGTTACTTGGTTTCACTAAGTTTCTTTCAAATCCAACCAAAAGATATCAGCAAATTAAAATCATAATGATCTTTTAAAACATATTTTAGTTTTAATACATAATCTAATTTCCAAAACATGAGGGTTTTTTTTTTTGTCATAGAAATCCTTGCGGATTAACCAGATAAGCGTGTGGAACCACAACAATTACGACCCCTACACGGACTCAAAGACATACCATGTACGAATAATCATATAAGACATTACTAATACCAGGATAGCGTAGGGCATTACGCGCCACACAATGGGCAGCCCGATTCGCTCTCGAGGTGTATAAGCAAAATGAACTAAGGGAAGATGACCAATGAGATCAAGCATTTCACGGTAAATTGCGCCACAATGAGCATCATGAGGATTGCGGGACATCAACCTCTCCAAAATCACTTGAACATCGCCGGTGACAAGAACTGGTCGATCATGCCATCCCCAACGGAAAAGTAATAGCAAAGCATATCGTACCGCCAAAATTTTTTACAGTAGTGACATCCAACATCTTGGGGAGAGAACACCCAAAACCAAAAGATGCTTGTCCTTCAAAAAAGCCAACAAGACCCACAACACCATGAGAAGGGTTGCATGTAGCGCCATCCACTGCAATCCGAATTCCAGAATGTGAGAATGTAGCACGGCGAGGCCGCTGTGAGGGAGCCAGAGCTACTAGGTGGGGCTGAACCGCTATTTGATGGTCCGCATGGTGTGACTGAAATTGACGGTGAAGGCTGACGATGGTAAACTGGGCATGGGGGAGGAAAACAACATTATTGCGACTTTTCCACAGTCGCCAAAATAAGAGTACCCAGCAAGTAAGAGATGGAATATCCCCAATGCAAATTCAATGTTGCCAAAACAGCGAAAGGTGAGTAGTTTCGAGTAACCCATCAGGTAATTGGAGGCCCACCAAATTACGAAAAAACACAGCCACCGGGTAGCGAAGGAATAAGTGCTCGACAAATTGGGCACAAATCCCCTACCCGCATGCCGTGGCGGTTAAGGTCTTCACGTACGGGTAAGATCTGGAGAATCAAACGCCAGAGAAAAAATTTAAGTTTGGGAGCAAGAGGAAGACCCCATAACTTAGGCCACAAGTTAGATCAATAGGTGAAGTCGAGGATACCCTTGCTGGATTAGAGGTCGGTTGAGAGGCGACAACTAGGTAATAGGCGGATTTGACGGAGAACCGACCATCGGATTGAAAATGCCAAATGAAGCGATCCAAACCCGGTGTGAGTGGTAGGGGAATGTTTATGATCGCAGAAATTGAGTCCTCAGTAAAGAGTTGGCGCAATCGATGTAGATCCCAGGTCCTTGACAGAGTAGAAATAAAGTAAGAGACATATCGAGAAGCATCCGAGGCGAAAGTCAGTAAAGATGGTTTGAATGATGGCAAAGAGGGAATCCAAGGATCGTGCATCGCATCAATGGATGTACCAGCACTAACTTCCCACCGAAGTCCCTTCACAAGCAAGTCCCGACCATGCAGCAAGGATTGCCACGCCCAAGATGAATTTTAACCCTTCCGCGCTGAGAGAAAAGACGTCTGGTGGAAATATCGACCTTTAAGGACTCTAGACACCAACGAATCCGGCTCTGTCAGAATACGCCAGCATTGTTTGGCAAGTAAAGCCTGATTAAAAGCTCCAAAATCCGAAATCCGAGCCCACCTTCAGCTTTGGATTGACATAAAAGACGCCAAGAGACCCAAGGCAGCCGTTTCTCAGTGCCTTGTTGAACCCACCAAAATTGCGCAATCATGCAATTGAGTGACCGACATAACCCTTGCGGGAGCCAGAAGCAAGACATAGCGTAGGCCGCTAAAGCGGAGACGACTGATTTAATCAAAGTTTCAACCCAGCTGGTGATAAGCACTTGCGTTTCCAACCTTGTAATTTCTTCGCCACCGCCTCCTCGATAAAACGGAAGGTATCTCGTTTAGAGCGATGAATCAAAGACGGCAGACCGAGATATTTATCCTTGGCACCGATGGCACCAACCCGCAATAATGCGCCAAAATGAGAAGCTTCTGCCGAGGTTGTGTTCTTGGAGAAGACCACGGCCGATTTGGATAAATTGACCCTCTGGCCTCTCATAAATTCATAACTTCTCAAGACATCGAGCAAGGAACGACAATCCCGGTCCGAGACCCGAAGAAAAAGAAATGCATCATCCGCAAAAAATAAGTGTGAAAGAACATGGCATTGATGATTAAAGCGAACGCCTTTTAACTCATTACGATGAAGCGATTGAGTCAACAACGCCGAAAACCCCTTAGTACAGATAGCAAAAAGTAAAGGGGATAACGGGTCACCTTGATGGAGCCCACGCGAAGGTTGAAAATACCCATAAGGATGGCCGTTAAGAAGCACTGAAATGGTGGACGTAGAAAGACAGGTACGGATCAAGGCGATGAGACGAGGATCGAAGCCCAACTTTTCCATCACACGAAAGAGGTAGGGCCACTCAATGCGATCATATGCCTTTTTCATATCAGATTCTAACCCCTTGGCAGCCTCGTCTGTAACAACCCACCCCGAGGCTTGTCTTAAAGAGGGTACAAAATTCTTTGCGCGGCGAGTCTGAGTAACCCGATGGAAATAGGATGAGTTACGATCTCCCTTTTGCAACCACAAAGTGAGAGACCGTTGACGCCAAAAGGCTTCCTCTTGATCCCAAGCCAAAGTGAGTTCCCTTTCCAAAGAGTGAATGGAGTCCCAATCACGGACAGGAGACGCATGATCCAAACGGAGAGCATGAGTTAGATCATTTATCCGCCGACGGGAGTTGGAAAAGCCACCCATCGTCAAAAGAAAGAGAGTGTGACGAGTGCGTTTAAGCTTTACATGTAAACGGTACATCGGTGACCCATCCACCGGCAAGTTCCAATAATAATCAATAATTAATCTTGTCTCAGGATTTGAAACCCACCGACAATCAAAACGAAAAAGCCTTTTGGGTTTAGATGCCCGTCGCTGCCAGGTCCACAAAACCATTCCGTGATTAGACCCAATATCTGATAAATGAGTGATGAGAGAATTCGGGAAACAAGACAAGGCGTCAGCCGAGAAAAGGACACGATCTAAGCGTGATTCCACCAAGAACTGGCCGGATTGATGATTAGATCGAGTGAATGGAGGACCGCAGAAGCCAATGTCCTCCAACCTGAGATCATCAATGAAGTCTGATAGAGGGATCACTGCAGAATGGTCAAAGAGAATACTGCCACTTTTTTCATTACTTGAAAGAATAGTATTAAAGTCACCGAAAAGCACAAACGGGAGGTTTAACGAACTAATAAAAGTAAGTAGAACATTAAGCTGATTAGATCGACAAGAAAACATCACAAGATAAATAAACACCAATACGAACCACACTACTAGTAGTAGTTACATCCCAATGGAAAGCAATAAACGTAGAAGAGCTATCCAGGATAGCCCCCTGAATACTAGAATTCCACATAAAAGTCAAACCCCTACCCGACGTCACGGACGGGGGAACAATACAAGGATCTGAGTAACCCAATCTAGATAAAACAGTCTTACACCGAGCACTAGACACCTTAACTTCACTTAAGACAATAAACGACGACATATTATGACGAATTGCACTTTGGAGTTCACGAAAAGTAAAGGTACCTCCCAAACCTTGACAATTCCAACTCAAAAGCATCACTGGTTACTGGGTGAACAATCGGGGTTGGTCACCACCACCACAACAGCAGCAGGATTGTCCGAAGGATTGACCGTAGAAGGATGGCCACTCGAGTCAGCCGCGGGAACCGACAACATCTCAGCAGGTTCCACAATAACCTCAGTTTCCCCTGAAGGGAGAGACATCGCAGCGTAGTCCCTCGACAGAATGGGATCTGCGGTCATTGATGGCTGAGCCGGGTCGTCCAGGATGAAAAATGATTCAGTTGACCAAGTAGAAGGCACATCTGTAGCATGGCCCACCAGTGCCGTGCTCAACTCCACCCGGAGGAGAGCATTAGGCAGTAAATCAGTCTCCTCATCCGGGAATAGCCCAGCCGGCAGGAGAGGGCCAAAAGCTGCAGTTAAGAGATCACAGGCCTCCTGAACCGCTTTAGAGAAATCTAGAACCCACTTGACCCTTTTATCTTTTGGAAGATCAGTTGAGGAAAAGGAGCGCTCATCACTAGACCCTTTACGATCAACCAGCAAATCATCCTCGGAAAGCCCAATGCGAAGAACACAAGACTTACGTGGAGGAGATGGACAAGGTAAAACCTCAACAGGCCGCTTCCCACGAACCTTGTCAGATACAGCAGCATCCGCAATCCGGGGTTCAATTTTAACGGGAAGGGAAT